TGGAATACAGATATTATCCCCATCAATTGGCCATTGTTGAATGCTTAAATTGTTCATGCTCAAGTTCAAAATTGAGGAATCTTCCAACGCAAGAGTTAGGTTGCTTAAGAACTCTTGAGCATTTGTGGATTCATAACATACAATTAACAATCCATGCTACATATGTTATTCATGCCTTAGGTCATATATGAGAATTGGGATCCCCAGACTACTGCAACTTGATTGAGCTCCTAGACAACATCAACAAATTCTCAAGGCTGTAAAAGCTTGATTTAAGTCATTGCAGCAATCTTCAGTGTTTACCTGAGCTTTCCCCATCCATTAAAGAATTAAATGTCACTGATTGCACATCACTTTCATTAAATTGTTCCTCAATGTACTCCTCAATCAGGCATCTTAGCAATCTCCAAAGTCTCCATCACAGTGCTTCAAGTCTTGGGCATCTTCCCTTGACCGAGTTAAGATATTTTAGATTTCTTGTTGAACTTTGAATTCTTAATGTTGTCTCAAAATGGATGAAGCAAAGCTAAATGTTCCATTTGATGCCTTGCCACTTTTAGAAAAGCTATATTTGGTGGAGGAGTGGTCAAACATAACTGAACTCCATGACAATGTCAGGCATCTTTTAGAGCTACAACATATCCGTCTTTAGAAGATTCTTCGATTTCTACCATTCCATGGTCCATTAGTAGTTTGGTTGCCTATAAATGCACATAATTGCTTATGAGAAAAGTAATGTATTAAGACATAATTAAATTTAAAATTTATTAATGAGAAGGAGGAAATTATGTTTTGGGATAAGAGTTTATGTTAATGTTGAGAAAATTTTAAGAAATTATATTTGAGCTTGAAAGTGAGGTTATCTATTTTATATCAAGGTAATTGTTTCTTAACTTTAACTGGAATGTCCATGGAGTACTTGTTAAAATATTTAAGAAAGGATTGGAATAAGATTGAGAAAAGTATAAAAACATATTTAGTGTTTATTGTAAATTGAACCTTAATGCACTTAAGGTGTTTCTAAAAATGCATAATAGAAAATTTGACAAAAAAATATAAGTTGTTTAATTTTCATATTATTAGTTTTAAAGGAACATGTATAAGTGGTGGCTTGAGCCATTAACTTGGCATTTTGGGGTAACTTAAGGAAATTAATGTTAAATAATAGTTATGGCTTGTCATTAAGCTTTAAAAAGGTATGAAAGGAATAGAAAGGTTTTTTATTATTCTAGTTGGGTTATTGTTAAGTTAAAATGTGATAAGGAAGTTGTTGGTTGAACATGTATAGTTGTGGTGTTATTTGAAATTAATTTAAATGTCAATAATTGTTTGAGAACTTGTTAGAGTGAAAAAAAATTGTTAATTGTTGATGATTAATATATTAAAAACACTTACTTGTTTATATTATGAAAAGAATGAATAGGTAATTATTGGATTGTGATTGATTTATTAAGAAAATTAATGGCATCCTTGGAATTAAGTGAGAAATTAAAGTGAAGTAAGCTTTAGAGTTATTGAAAAACTCTTAGATGAGTGAGTAGTGTCCCAAATAATTTCTTGCAAAGTTTTTTAAAAAAATTTTTATTTAAATTTTTATATTGTTCTTATATAAATTGTATAAATATTCTTGTTAATCCTATTTTTTATGATTTATACAATTCTTCTTACTCACCTCATTTTATATTAATTGATTCATTGCAAAATCTTTTTATTTTCATTAAGAATTATGATATTACTAAGGAATATTTGAATTCGATACATTATTAATTGATTATGTATTCTAAATATTTTTGTGGTTTAAATTTTATAATTTATATAACAGTAGTTAACACAGTGATTAGTGCATAGAGAAAAATTGAAAGGAAAATTTGATTGCTAAATATTATATTTTAAAAGAAATGGTTTTAAATGAATGTTTCAATTATATGCATACTTGATTTAATTAAGGGGACTGAACTCAGAATGTTGGATGCTAACGACAGTTCCATTAACACTTATCACACTATAGTACACCTAACTAGTAGGGTGCATTGGAGATGCTAGCCCCGTATGACAGCCAATACACATGAAATGGAGGATGTAGTTTCGTGGATATAATTCACACCTATTATTCATGAGCTTTATGCTTGCACCTATTTTTCATGGCTTCTTGCCACATCGGATATGTTACTTATCCTTGTAGATTGTATGTTTACGCTTGTTAATCATTCTAATTAAGTCCTACTAAAAAAGGAATTTTGAAACTATTTTCTTTAAATTTGATCTCAAAAAGAAAATTGCTATTTTTATTATATATGAATTTTATATTGAGCGATATATATATATATATATCTCAAGGTGTTTAAGTATGTATAGAAAAAAAAAAAAAGAAAAGAAGAAGAAGGAGGAAAGGAAAATTTGAGATTTTTATAATTTTTATTTATATTTATGTATTCATGATTTATATTATTTTTAATTAATTATTTTAATAAATTTATAATTGATTCATTGACTTGCTTTCTATTATTTCCTATAAGTGTAAATTGGGATGTTATTCATTGAAAAAATTTTCTTTCGTCTCAAATATTAAAATTGATCTTACACCTTTTGCTAATTATTGAATAACAATTGTTTTTTGTAATCGTGGAAGCATGCATTAGTTACTTTTGATATACATAATTTTTTTTTATTATGAGATTTAACATAGCGCTCCTTGTATATTGTAGTTAGGTCCTAGTTTTATTTTATTATTGTAAAATCTGTTAGTATGGAGCTAAGCCCATTTCTGATTTAGCTGACAGGTTTTGTTGTTGTAGAAATTTTGGGTAGTCTTAATTACAGGGGGACTCTACCAAATTTCTATAGAATGGTTAAAACTTTATGAATTTTAAATTTAGATGTAAATTATATCGTTATTTTGAATTAATTTTTTAGTTAATTAAGGCTTATGGAATGTGAGTCTATCATATATTCTGTGCCGATCATACTTTCAATACTGGGGTGTGACATAAGCTATTTCTAAATAAGCAAGAGAGAGGATGCTTAGGAAGAAGGATCACATATGAATAAACTATTTCAAAATAATGTCACTATTTCTGAATAAGGACCTTAACACTGAAAAATACTACATAGGCTATCAGAATTTGAATTTTTAATTTTAAAATCAATTGAGATACCTTTCAAACATATAAAATGTCCTTAAAGAATTAAGATCAAGTTAAATACTTAATCTTTAAAGAAAAACACTATATGAAAGAATACAAGAATAGTTTAAGTGCTTCTTGACTATTTGAAAATAAGGATACCTATTTTGAAAATAAGACTCGAGAGCCAAAATTTAAAGCAAAAAAAAAATCAATTTCCTTACAAATTATTAATTCTTGATTATTAAACTTGTAAAATATAAACTTATTTTATTTTGTAATCATTAGAATCAAGGTTCAACATAGTCCAAACATTAGATACTTTGATAGAATTTCTAAACCTTCCTTTCTCAATTTTGCAATTAGAGAGACAAATGCACATACTCATGATATTTTAAAAATGATATTTTAAATAATTTTAGATATAAAATTTCTCCCATTTTTATTCAAAATAAGTTACTTTTCATTATAGATATTAAAATAATTTATAATGAAATTTAACTAGTATTACTTATAAATGAATATATTCTGATGTTTATTGATAATGGAATTTGAATATTTTTATTTTAAATATGTTGTTTATTTCTATTATGAATGATAAAGTTGAGAATGTGATTTGAAGTTGGAAGATGAAAAAAAAGAGTCAAAAATTATGATTAGTCTTAATATATATTTTATATATTAAAAAAATATTGCAACTTTATTTTTGTATAAACCAAACTACATGAAAACTTAACCAAACTACTTTTAATAAAAAAATCAAATCAAGTAAGATTTTCTGCTTCCACGTACCGTTGACGTTGATGCAATTTAAAAAACCCGGTCTTGATGATCTCACAATTCCATTCCACCCACATCAATTGGGAGCTCGGACATTCTGGAAGTAGAAGCAATTAATGGGACACAAAAAAAAAAAAAAAAAAAAAACCGTCAGTTTCACTTCACTGCGTCACATTTCAGAGCCCTTCAAGGAAAGAAGCTCTATCATGAAACAAAAGAGCTAGAAAGATACATCTTCATTAGAGTTTGGAGACTAGATTGGCATATTTGTTACAAGCACAACTTCGAAGAGAAAATTCATTCTATAAAACGAGCAAATTGGGAGGATGAGCCTATCGAACTTAATTGCAAATTTCACTTCATTTATAATATTTTTTGGTATTGGACTCAAAACAATATATGAATTGAAATCACTCATATCATATTTCTTAGATTGAATAGAACTTTAAATCCTAAAAATACATTTAAATTATTCAATGTTTAAAAAGAAGATAATTTTTTCACAAATTTAATTATAATTTATATTGATAAGAAAATTGCTAAAAAATTTATCATAGATATGATAGTTAGTAATTTTTATATTATGAAAAATTTATGAACAAAACTTAAAAATAAAAGTAAATATTTTTTTTATTATATATTTGTAAAATTGTGTGTTTGTGTGTGTGTTTTGAAATCTTTATGTTATATTTGTAATACATGTAGAGATTTAATTTTATTTCATTTATCATGTATATTTTGTTATCTCATTCCTCTAATTAAAAATTTCAAAAAAAATTACATCTAGATTTCATAAAAGATAATTTATTATCAAGAGGTTCGAGAGATTCACAAAATACTTTCAACTTTCAAATCATGCACACTTATAACTTGACAAAAGACATTTAGAATTTAAAACTTAAGAGCATTTTGTGAATGTCTTGAAATTTTTTGATAATAAGTTCTCTTATGTGAGATTTTTCCTTAAAATTTCTGACTCCACCAAGCAGCCAATGTTGAGTTGGGTCATAGTTAATATGAGAGATTTGTATTTTGAGACCTCTACTGATAGAGTCTTCATTAAATCTAAACTTGCAAAGACTTTGGATACTATGAGAGGTGTAGTTGCTCCTTTTAAAGATTTGCTTACAATGCGTCACCTGCCAATTGACAATTGATAGTGGCAAGAGTAGAGCCGATAATTTAGATAAAGTCTAACAGGCCAACCCAAACTGATTTAAAAAATATTAATTTTTTAATATTTGGGTCTATTACCTAAGATCGAGCTTGACCCGAATACCTGCATAAAAATATATATATATATATATATAATATATTAAATATTAATTATTTTTTTAAGTTTTATGTCATTTTATATCAAAATATTATATATTTAAGTGCATTACTATAGTTATTTTTAAAAAATTTAAAAAATTTATATTTTCATATTTTTATTATTTTTAATCAATAAAATATCTTAAAATAATATTTAAAATATATTTTAATATTTATTTTCATATTTTAAACCCCAATTTTTTTTAAAATTTTTTTTGCCTCCTATACATCATTTGTGTACCAAAAAAATATATTTTATAAAATAAGATAATTAATTTTAAAGTATAAATAAAAGTTGGGCATGTACGAATTCTCAATTTTATTACTAGATAAATATAATAAATAGAATAATATTCTTAAATAATTATTTGATTATTATCCACGTCAGATTTGATTAAAAATTAAAAATAAATTAGAGTAAAAATCTCTTATATGTAAGGGTTAAACAATATAAAAAGTTAAAGAAAAAAATAATTCCAAAAAAATAGTATTTTGTTCATAATTAAATAATTTTTTTATATAATATAATTATGGCTATTTTTCTTATATTCTTAAAAATAAAAAGTATAATTTATTCAAAATTTATTAAAAACTTTGAACTAATTGAGACAGTGATTTTAAGTTAGTAGTCTAATCGTGATTAAATTAAGATTAATTTGATTATAATTAAAATAATATAATTGAATTAAAATATATAAAAAATATTTACATATGACTATGATAAGAGCAATATTCAAATAACTATGACATTAATATATAAGTAAAGGAAACATTCATGAATAAATTACACATAATACAATAAAACAATAATAGAGCTATTTAAGCATAAAATTGATAAGTTATTATTTTTTATTTTATTCTTTTAAAGTTAAAATAACATTTTATATTTAAAATAATTATTTCAAAATTAAAATTGGTTCAAAAAATAAAGAAAAAATTATTTTTACAAAGTTTTGGGTATTCAAACCGGTCCAAATAAGCTTGAAGCCTGAAGGTATTAGGGCGAGGCTTGACTATATAGGCATTTTAGAAGGGATATGATATTTTAAACTAATCTGAATAAGCTCGACTCACATGAATTATCGGCTCTAGGCAAGAGAAGAAAAAGGCAGCAGACTAACTTGATATTAGACAAAGGAAGAATGACAGAGAGATTTCAAAAGGATCAATTAATTTAAGTTAGGTCTTAAGTGTCAAATTTTAAAAATTTACAACTCCATTGTAATGAATTTGCAACTTGTATTTTAAATTTTAATAGAAAAAATAATTTTTTTTATTCTTCAATCATGTTAAAATTTTAAAAAAAATTAAAAAATTATCACAATATAGTTGCAAAATTAAAAGATGAACCTGCAAATTTCTAAAGCTTAACATTTGAGACCTAACTTAAATTAATCGGTTATTTTGGGATTTATCATTCTCCCTTAGACAAAAGACATTAGTTTTTAAATAATTTTTAGTCAGTATTCACTTAATTCCACTTGAACTAAACAATTATATATCACCTTTGGTGAGTCTCAAATACCCAACTGACATGGAATATTACATGGTTCTTGGTTTAACCCTTCCTGGAAGTTTCATCTGATCAAATTGGCTGTGAAGACTTAAAAGTCAGTCAACTCCGATCACTAGTTTAATTACGGCCTTACTCCTTCATCGTTATCAACATTTCTCAGTGAATTGAAGAAGAAAATGTTATATAAACCGTTGTGTTTTTGCTTTGAACAGCCGATCACAGTATCATGGCTTCTGTTGCTGCTGCTTCGTCCTCCTCCTCCTCTTCACTTCCCACGAAACTTGACGTGTTTCAGAGTTTCAGAGGCAATGATGTAATGTACGATTTCCAGCAACAATATAATATTAAATTGACCGCAAATTGTGATACTGGAATTGAAATTACAGGGATAAATGAGCAAGTTTCAAATTACAAGCAATAGCGGGAGAGATGGGTAAGAAAAGAAACAACGAGAAGTAGAAATTGCAGAAGGAACAGGGAAGAATATCCAATTATTTGAAAATTAGACCAAACCAGACAGTTGAAATTGTTAACCACTTAATTTGTATAAAAAAACTATTTTCATAATTGAGTTGGATTGGATCAGAGTTGAGCTGTTATTGAGTTAAAAATTAGAGTTGAATGGGAAATTGGAGCAGTTTTCACAAAACCGGATGATTTTAAATATAATATTAAAAAAGATTTAAAAATTAAAAAAATTTAAAAATTAGATCCTACTATAAGCTAACTTTATTCTTGGACAATTTGAAATATGATTTGAGACTTTTTTTAATAAAGATGTTGACAATTATATATGCAAATTCGAATATTTTTAATTTTATTCATATCTAATTTAACCAATATCCACTTATGTTTGATAATTATAAAATTATAATCTATAATATTATTAATTTACAATAATATTAGGTCATTTAATTAACATATTATAGATTTTTTCTTGTATTTATTTTATATATACATTTAATATTATTTTTATTTAATTATTATATCATCAATTTAATTATTGATTCAACTTAGTTCGATCATGTGAACTGTAAATCGTTCTCTTTTTTTATTTAATATCCTGTCTGATTTTAAACAACAGAGAGGGAGACGATTTTCATCAAAATGATTCCCTGCCTCTACAGTGATTGTATCTCTCCTTATACACCTAAAACCCCAAGCTCCTCCTGCATAGCCCTAGCCTAATATTACAAGCTCTTGGCCCAATAGTCCCTTTTTTTTTTGTAAACCCGGTCCATCATGTACTGAGCCCGTCCAGGATAAATGACACTCGCACAACCTTCACCAGCCATTTCTACACTGCCCTATGCCAAGAGGAATTAATTCGAACCTTCATAGATTATATGAATGTTACATTCAAGGATGCCGTAGAGGATTTAAATTCCATTTTGACATACTAGAGTGTTATTATATGCCTACATAATATTGAACATTTATAGCAAGAACATGTTGTGGCACCAAAACCAATAGAAGAAAGAAAGAAAGAAGGGAAATGCAGGAAGGAGAGGGCTCACAATTATGTGTTCGGCTGAGCAGACATTCTTCTATCCTATGCATGACATAGGAATGGTTCTAGTCTCTGACAGACATAATTGTTCACGTGTATATTGTTAGCACTAGTTTCGTGGAACTGAGCTCAACTTGCACCTTCTGCAGAATATTATATATTCAGCTTAATGTTGCCTTTCCTGTACACGCGTCTGAAGACTTGCAAGTCAGTCAACTCCAGTCACTATTTTACTAAACTACTCCTTTTTCACGATTAGCAGCATTTCTCAGAGAAGAAGAACGTCTCAGCTGTAAATGATTTTGCGCTCTGAATTAGCTGATCACAGCATCATGGCCGCTGCTTCTTCATCCTCATCCTCCTCCTCCTCTTCTTCACTTCCTCCCAAGAAACATGATGTGTTTCTCAGTTTCAGAGGCGAGGACACTCGCAGAAGCTTCACCAGCCATCTCCATACTGCCCTGTGCCAAAGAGGAATTCGAACCTACATAGATTATGAGCTCCCAAAGGGCGATGACATCTCGGACGCACTCATCGGGGCAATTCAGGATTCAAGTATAGCTGTGGTGATCTTCTCTCAGAACTATGCCTCCTCGAAATGGTGTTTGAATGAGCTCCTCCAGATCCTTTGGTGTAGAGAGGTCCAAGGACAGCTTGTTATTCCTGTCTTCTATCAAGTTGACCCATCTCATGTACGCCATCAGAGGGGAACTTACAGGGAGGCGTTTGCAAAGCATGAGAGAGACTTCAGGCTTCATCAAGACCAAGTGAACAAGTGGAAACAAGCTCTCTTTCTAACTGCAAATTTAGCCGGCTATGATTCTCGAATCTGCAGGTCAGTACTGCGTAGTCTCTTCACTCCTTCAAACTGCATCTTGATCAATTTGTGCTTGGTTATAGCAATCTATCAACTACAGTTTTATACTTTTATTCTTCTTCTTGTCTTACTGGCCAGAATTTCAATTTTCTTCGTCCATGATTTTATATCTTAAAAACATATGCTCCTGCAAACTCTTATAAGTTGCATCTATCTGTTCTTTTTTTTTCTTTTTTAACCATCAAGCTGCATTTATATGTTCAAGAATGGTTTTGGGGTCTTCAGTTTTCACGGATATTCATATACTTCCTCTCTTGATTTTAAGATTAAAATATAGGGACCAAATGACTACTTACTGCTATTATAGTTGTTGTTGTTGTTGTAGTATTGATGAGCTCTGTCAAAATATATGACTCAGTGACTCGCCAAGTCACCATTGATCAAAGCCACCTCAACTACGAGCAAACACAGTCATGTGATACACCAAAATGATCTGATCTTTGTATACTTTGTTGGCATCACTGTTTCATAGGTTTTAGGTTTGATACTGCGCGTATACATATGGGTGGTTTTTAACAAACAACAAGCTTTTGTGATATGAAGAAATGAATACAACAATATCTTTGGTACAGATTTTCTTTAGATTTATTTTCTTGGCTTGAAAGCCCCTAACCAGTTTTCTTTTTAAATGCATCATGATCAAATTCTAAATTGAAGAAAAATTTGTTACATATCAAATATAGGATAAAAATAAATTTAAAATATTTAAATATTTACAAATAAAAAATTTATATCATATCTATAATTTTGAACATTTATATCTAAAAAATAGGAATAATAAAATCTTACATCTATTTGAGTCATGTTTTCTGACAAAAATTTTGAGAACATTACATGATACTCATAGACATATGTGATATCTCTTGATTGTGTGCTTAATGCATCTCTTTACCGTTAAAAAATAATAATACTTTCTTTTTTATTGTTTTCCATATTATAGGGATGAATCAGAACTCACTCAAAACATTGTCAACAACGTGCTGTGTAACGTTAACCTTACTTGTCCAAGCTCACCACTGACAGATCTTGTTGGAATTGATGAAAATTGTGCCGAGATCGAAAGGTTATTGGAAAAGGCCCCAATAATTGGAATTTGGGGTATGGGTGGCATAGGCAAAACCACCATGGCTAAAGCTTTATTCATCAAACTCTCCTCCAAATTTGAGGGTCGTTGCTTTTTGGAAAATTTAAGAGAAGATGTAGAAAAGCATGGATTGACACATGTTCGAGATAAACTTCTCTTTGAATTACTAGAAGAAGAAAGATCCTATCACAGGCCACCTAATGTTGCAGGAAGCGCCTTTATTAAGAGGAGACTGAGTTGTAAAAAAGTCTTTATAGTGCTTGATGATGTTAGTAGTTGGAGGCAATTAGAATATTTAGCTCCGTATTGTGATCATTTGGGACCTGGTAGTAAAGTTATTATTACAACTAGGGACAAGCAATTCCTTGTAATTGGAAAAGTCAATGAGATATATGAGGCCCAGCCTTTGAGCGGTCACAAATCTGCAGAGCTTCTCAACCTCAAAGCCTTTGATAAATACCATCCAAAAATTGGATATGAATTCCTCTCAAAAAGGGTTGTTGACTATGCAAAAGGCATTCCATTAGTTTTGGTAGTATTGGGTTCGTTTCTTCGTTCAAAATCTCCAAAGGAATGGGACAGTGCATTGTCAAAACTAAAGAAGAGCCCCAATGAAGACATTTTTGAAGTTCTGAAATTGAGCTTTAATGGATTAAATCATGAAGAGAAAGAAATGTTTCTAGATATTGCATTCTTTTTGAAGGGTGAAACTGAAGACTATGTAATAACGATATTAGAGAGCTATGACTTCCATGCTAGGATTGGGTTAAAAACCCTTGTAGATAGCACCCTTATAAGTGTTGAAGATGGCAATGTTTACATGCATAACTTAATCCAAGAAATGGCCTATGAGATTGTTCATCAAGAGTGCATCAAAGAACCCGGAAGACGAAGTCGATTACATGATCCAAAAGAAGTCTATTATGTGCTGAAAAATAATACAGTAAGCAAAAAGCATTTATTTTGCTAATAATACGTGTTTCTATAAGTAAATAATGTCATAATCATATGATTTAATTTACTTTTATTTTATATTATATTTTTCAGGGAACTGATGCAATCGAAGGCATAGTATTAGATCTGTCCAAACTTAGTCATTTAACCTTGAGCCCTGATACTTTCAAAAAGATGCCTAAACTAAGATTTCTAAAATTCTATTCACCAAAGGATAGGAGATCTTGTAAGGTGAACCTTTCTTCTGGCCTTGAATCATTATCTGAGCAATTGAGATACCTTCAGTGGGATGGTTATCCTTTGGAGTCCCTACCGTCCACATTTTGTCCTGAGAAACTCGTTGAACTTTGCATGCAAAACAGCCATATTAAAAAACTTTGGGATGGAGTACAGGTATATAAATTTGAGAATGTATGCTTCAATTTCTAGTTGAAGTCTTGTGGTTTTCTTTCTCTTGTGATGCTTTTCATTTTAATGGTGACAGGATTTTGTGAACTTAAGGAGAATAAATCTTGCTAGATGCAAACAACTGATAGAGCTACCTGATTTTTCAAAGGCACATAATCTTGAATCGGTCAATCTCTCATCATGTGAAAGTTTGTGTTATGTTCATCCATCCATCTTAGCTCTACAAAGGCTTGTTACTTTGGATCTCAACAGATGTATTAAACTGAAGAATCTTCATAGTGAGATTCATTTGCAATCTCTCAGGCGGCTCTATGTCAGTTGGTGCTTTAGTTTGACAGAATTTTCATTGTCGTCCCATGAAATCGCAAGTCTAGAACTAGAAACTACACGAATTGAGATATTGGACTCGTCAATTGGGCATCTCAGTAATCTCAAACAATTCAGGCTTAATTGTTCAAGATTGAAGAATCTTCCAATAAATGAGTTATGTTGTTTAAGATCCCTGGAGGAGCTTGGGCTTTTTAATTGTGAACAAGCAATTGACAAGGTGAAGCTCCACATTCTGTTTGATGCCCTGCGATTGTTGGAAATATTATGTTTGGATGGGTGTCAAAAATTAACCGAGCTACCTGACAATATTAAGCATCTTTCAGGGCTAAAAGCTCTTTCTTTAAAGAATTGTGAGAGGCTACAATCTCTACCAGAGCTTCCACCATCTATTGAAGAATTAGATGCCACCAACTGCCCATCCTTAGAGGCACTAGTCCTCATTTCTGAGATGGAATCTTCAACGTCGCCAGAGGAAGGAATGATGGCTTTAACACCCTATTCCTCAACTGGGTATCTTTCAAAACTTAGAAAGCTTCGCCTCAATGTCTCAAGTCTGAAGAATTTTTCAATTGAGCAGCTATGTTGCTTGAGATCTCTCAAGGAGCTCTCTCTCTTTGATTGCGGGGAAGTGATTGACAAGTCAAAGTTGCGCATGCTTTTTGATGCCTTATCCTCTTTGGTGGACCTTTATTTGGAAGGATGTAGTGATTTGGATGAACTCCCTGACAACCTCAGCTCCTTATCTTTGTTATATTTATTAGGATTGGAAGGAAGCAATGTCAAATACTTGGCTTCTAGCATCAAGCATCTTCCAAGGCTAGACTACATTTACTTAACCAATTGTAGGACACTTCGATCTCTACCAGAACTTCCACCATTCACTAGATATGTAAAAGCCACTAATTGCTCATCACTGCAAGCTGTGTCCCTTTTAAAAAATCCTAGACAACGGCAAAAATATTTGGTGGAGTCCCTCTTTCTCGAAAATTGCTTGAAATTGGAGCACCATTCACTTTCTCGTATTGAGGAACATGCTTGTTTGTCATTGAAGCGAGGAGCTTATCTCAATCGAACTGGTGCTTTTTGTTTCCCAGGAAGCCAAATTCCAGAGTGGGTTCGATATAGCCAGACGATTAAGGCTTCGAGTTTCATAACTATTGAACTCTCTTCAGTTGCCAACAACTTGGTGGGCTTTGTTTTCTGCTCTGTTCTTCCTCAGTTCACGTCAAAGCCAAATTGTCAGAGTTACTTGAAATGCCAAATGCAGCTTGAAGATGGTGAACGAGTTGACAACATAAGTGACGATATGAGGATAACAAACCTAAATTCACATCATGTTTTTCTATGGTATGATCCGATCCACTCTGTATGCCTTTTAAGGGAACTTATACAAAGAGAGGAAGATCAAGGCATCAAAGGTAATTCTAAGCTTTCATTCGAATTTTCTGTCGTCTCTTATGATGAGAATTATGAGATAACCGAACATGATGGTTTGATAGAAGAATGTGGAGTATGTCCAATATATGCTTCTGAATATCACAATTTCCTTCAACAAATGGAATTTGGGTTGGAGTTGGGTGGCCAAGAGAGGAGTGGTCATGATAATGATCAGGATTCACAATCTGGAATTATGGAATATGCTAGTTCATGTTTGAAGCAAGCAATATATGATAATCTCGAAAGAAGCATGATTTCTTTCCCAAAAACGACAATTCCAAAGTGGTTTACATATCATAATTCAACAGAATATTCTTCCATATCTGTTTCTATCGCTCCAAATTTGGACGATTTATTGGGTTTCATTTTCTGCTTTGTTATTCCTCAATTCTGCTCAAAAGAAAAGGATCAGAGTCACTCAGGATGTCGATGCAGATGGCCTTCGCCAGATACTTTTCATACCGAAAGAGTCAGTACGGTGGATCGAGGTTTTGAAGGCCCAAGAGGATGGCATTATTCCATGACACGGTTGAATTCGGATAATTCTTTCCTGTGGTATGATCCCCTTTTTTGTGAATTGATCATAGAGGAAGTTAGAAGAAAAAGAGGCATTGATGAGAGAACAAGTAATTATAATCCAACGCTTTCATTTGAATTTGAGTTTGGTGATCGCTTGATCAAAGAATGTGGAGTACGCCCAATATACGCCTCGGAATATAACGATTTCCTTCAACTGAAGGAATTGAAGATGAAGCAGGGCATGAAGACAAAGAGGCCTCGGGATACTTGGGATGGGGATGAAGATGAACAACTCACTCCAGCAAAGAAATTGAAGGAATCTTGTGTTATTCAACCTGAGAAAATTGATCAGTTACAACTTACACTATCCGGATTGAATTTGGAATCTCTAATGGATAGCACTCCACATTCACAAGTTACCTAGCATTGCATTACTGGTATATATCCCTCCTTACATTTTGGACTTAATTATCTTTCACTACTGTTTGTCTCCATTATACTCTATTGGTATATATTAACCTATATTTTTAAGAACTATCAAATTTAAATTATCAAATTCATATGACAGTTCATGTTTTTGGTTTTATCTCCACTGTAGCAGACATTTTATCCATTAATTAATTGAGTTTGAGTTTGGTAAACTAATGCTAGTTCAGGCAATTACTTCTTTTCCCCTCCTTTTTATTTAAAAAACGCAATATGGATTCATGTATTTGAGCCAACAAAAATTATTGGGATTTGTAAAATCAGTATGTAAAGTGGATATATTTTTCTTCTTTTTTCTTTTTCATACCACTTAGCAGATTTTTTTTATTCTTTTTTACATTTCCTCTTTTGTTGATGTTTTGTCTGGAATAGAGACTATCTAGACAGTCAATTATTGTTGTTATGAAACTTTCCTATATACATCTCAATGATTGTATCAAAAATGTTATATTAGTTACATACTTTTTTATTAAAAATGTTACTAACTTAGTGTTCTTTTTTATGAAAATCAAGTTCAGATTCTTTTTCTCCAAAAAAAAAAAAAAGTTCAGGGTCTTTGATATCCTTGTTAACTTACGTTTGTGTTCTCCTTCTGTTGTAGTTTGACATGGAACAAGTCTGCAGCAAGGGCAGCTATAATGATTGGTGGTACATATTCAAGTGTTATTTCCAAGTACATTAATTTGCAAGAGAAACAGCTCCAAGAATAAATTCAAGTGTCAAACCTGTGGCAAGTACTGTGTTCTTAAGAAATACTCCTATTTATACCAGTTTGATAGTAACATAGTAAGTAATAAAAGATTGGCTTTAATTCTATGTATTTCTAGTCATGGGCACTTTCTAATTACTGTGATTATTTTTTCAAACACAGCCATAAATTTGAAAAAGTTTACGTCACATGACAAATTTTGAATTAAGGTAATACCAGTGAGCTCTACATCACCTGAGATATTTTTGTTTCCAGAGAAATAAAATCAGAAATAGCATTGAAGCTTCCATGACTATTCCAATTTGGTCCGGCTGCTGACAGAGCCAATCTTTGAGATCAAATGGTCCTATTGGTTCGCGTTTCACCTCTTTTAAGTTTTAACAGAAATCTCTGCTGATTTGATGGTAAGGATTTGGAACTACTTCACTCACTTATCATAATAGAGTTTAATTCTAATTTCTTTTACGTCTATTAAGATATCTTTTTTTGCTGTCTTCCTTGCAGGATTTCTGTCATCTATCCAAGATGGACTAGTAACACACTGCTGAAAAATATGAGTTTGACAAAATGCAAGTATAATGAAGTAGTTAAGGGTTAGTATTAAAAAAAAAAAAAAAAACTCATTGGGACAAGACAATCACTTGATGTTGTTGTAATTTCATTGCGAATCAATCTTTGTGTAATGTGCTATACTCATTCGTAGCCTCTCGTGCCAATACTTATTATCATCCTCTATCATCTTCGAGAAGTCAAATTTGGCCTCAAGCTTCCATGGAATAATCTGCCATCTTTTTGGATAAGCAAAGCCACCTCTATCATCTCCACCGAGGTCGGCAGAGCCACCATCTCCGATGCCAACGCGCACCACCTCCTCCACGGTAGTTTTACCCTACACTCCTCCTCCACCTTTCATTCCGATGGCACATTCTAATCTCAAGATCAGATGCTCTTTTCCTAGCTCGTCGCAAATCTCTTTGATGTAGTGGGTTTCAAACTGAGCTTAAGAGACAACCAGTGGAGGCTGGCAAATCTCATTTATATTTAATTAAATTTAATACAAATGGTTTTAATGAAATGTACATCCTCCGTATATCTTTAAGAACGTGGAAGGAATCTAAACTCAAAACATTATAGTAAAAATGATAGCATGGAGGACAAAATCACGCATGACTATGTGAAGCTTACTCTAATGGGTTACTACTTCAAAACAAGTTTTATTAAAGTATACAACTGATGAAAAAAAAATGAAAACACCCAATACATTATACAAAGCCAACTTGCCATATTTTATGAGTCTACTTGTTGAGAGTGACACAAATATACATATCCAGAAAGAAGTGAATAGGTGTCTGTATGTACAAACACCACCTTCTACCAATACATTAATGAAGCACTAACTATCTCTTTCAAGCAATTTTATTTCATTAATTGAGGTAGCTCTTAAGTCAAGGTGTACTTAAAAACAACGATATCATTTTCACATTAGGTCACCGAAGTGTGAATCTATAAATGATGAAAGGGAAATATGTATATGAAAATGAATTCTATATGTATAAATTTAAATAGTTCAAATTAAAATTGAATAGCTTAGACGAAATATTATTTTATTTTGATGATTTTTATAATATTTTACTTTAGTGAATACATAGTATTTTAAGATAAAGATAATTTTCTAACTATAATTTTTTTATAAAAACTTAATTTATCGTTTAAGATTATAAATTTAAAACTTTAAATTGATTAGCATTGAATCCTAAATCCATCATAAGTACTCCTGAAAAATTAGTTACATCTGATACCATATTAGTCATAATTCTATTACGTCCAGCTTTTTTTTTTTTTTTTTTGTGAATCTATTATCCAACTTTTAGGAATTTGATGCCATTAAGAATATACTCCCTCTAATATCACCTGTAGGACACTACTTCATCGGATCAATATTATAAAGTAGTATATTGTTTTAAGTATCATATTCTAAAAAAATCAAAGGTATTTGAGTCTTTTAATATGTAATTAATATGATTTTTTTTTAAAATGCCTTTAATTAGTTATGTAATTAATAAGGTTTATAATTGAGATAATTTATTAAATAAGGATAAATATGAAAAGAATATAAAATTTTAAATGTCAATAACTAACTTATGAAATAAAATGTATAAAATAGTTAAAAATGCCTTGAACTGAGAATAAAACATATGTCACAAAAACCAATAAAATTAGTTAGACTATTTTTTTGGTAGACAGTTAGACTACTTAAATTTATTGCAAAACATACCAATTTATATCAGAATTTCCCTCAATTAGTGGGTGACATTTCTTCTTATAAATTTCAAATTTTTCATCATGCTTTATGTAATGAGGGGCATTCTAAAAGAATATTTAATAACTTATAAAGCACCTTATATTTTAGATATATCACATAAAAGACTCTAACAACTGCATCTTAATTATATTTCAGGCTAGATGTAGCATAACCTAAATGTCTTGGTCCATTAATAGTACCTACCTTTCACATTTAACAGATCTTCGCTGTTGGTTTAGGGGATAAAAATATCCTGACTGTCCGTTGATTTATATTATATTGAAAGGTTTTCTTCTTCCTCTACCAGAGGGAGTTTTAAGTTAAAAGGAATTGGACAATTGATCCTAATTCCTACCTATATCTTTAATTAATATTTTCTTCATTTCAATTTATAAGACATTTTTAAATAAAATTATACATATAAATAAAACTCATTAAATTATACTTTACAATCTTTTTTTTGAGACATGTATTTTTAAAAATACTCTTCACTTAATATAACCTTATTTTACATTTGTGAAGCATTAAATAATGAGAAAGAACATATAATAAAGAGGTAAGGGTAATATTGAAATAAATATAATTAGTGAAACTTTATTTTTGTTAAAATGTCTTATACTTTAAGATATTGAATCACTCTAAAAGCATCTTATAAATTGAGATGGAGAATGTACTTAGTAAGGTATTTGGTTTTTTAATTAAATTATTATGATCTTTGGGTTAAACGTTTGAATTATAAGGGTGGCTTCTTGACCCCAAAAAAGGTAGCTTCGTTATTCATATGGGGATGCAATAAAATGCAAGGAGGGGAAGTAGAACTTTATGATGAAAAGTAAATATAATTAGTTAATTTAGCGTGATTTAAAAAATATGATTTCTGGGAATTTGGAAATCCAATTTTCCATAGAATTTTCAGAAGTAACTTGGTGAATAAGATCTTAAAAGTTGTACTTTCCAAATGTTTTATATTGGTTTCATAAAACATCTTTTACTAGTATAATTGAACCTTCATTTCTTGGAGAAAAGTTTTGGAAGTTGCATAGCTAGGATAGTCAGCTCTACTAAATACATTGCTAGTGAATAGAAGCGAAGTCGTATTTTTACGGAAAGGCATTCCAACTCATATGCCTGTTTCCTCTTTGTTATTGTTTCTTTATTGGGTTGAGAGAGTATTTGTTTGATATTATTTGTATGATATTTGTATGATTTTTTATGTTCAATATTTACTTTTTTACTCTTATTAAATATTAAAAAAGTTATTGAAGTATTTTATGTTTAAAGTATTATGTGCTACTTCTGTCCCAATTTGTAAGACATTCTTAACCATAATTGTAACCTCATTTTTTAAAAATAAAAATATAAATTTTTAAAAATATCATTCATTTATATTTGGTCTGTGAAAAAATATTAAAGATAGAGAAGTGATACAATGAGAAAGGTAATATTAAAAAAAATATTATTAGTAAAATTTTATTTTTATCAAAATATTTTATATTTTGGGATGTGGAGTTCCCCCAAAAGTACCTTATAAATTGAGAGGATGGGATTATATTTAATGTGTGTAAAGTTGAAAACTTAAAATTTGAAGATTTTTTGTAGTTTCAATAAAATATATTAAAAATGATTTATAAATATAGTGAAAACAAACAGGTGCTTGTATTATATTTTTTTTTAATTCTATTTATAAGTCATTTTTAACATTTTTCACTGATATTAGAGAAAACTTTAAATATCATTAATTCTATATAAAAATTCAATAAGTTATCAACTATACCCCTATTAAATATACATATTTTTTGACTATATTAGTAAATGTGTATATTTTAATAATATTTTCTCTCTCTAACATTTAATAAGAGAAAAAAAAATTATGATAAAAATTTAATGATATAATTTGTAAATAATATATATATATATATATATATATTATTCTATTAATAAGACAGCATGTAGCCATAACTCATAACTTCAAAGTCTGTTCTACGACTTTTTGGGATGGACTTTCGCAGCATCTTAATGACATCCAACGGCTATATAAATAATTATTTCTCGTAGCGCGTGCGGGTCTCTTCTTATCTCTGGACATGTTTGAAATCAAAGGCAATAGGAAATTAATTAATGAAAGAAAAGTGATGATGGTTAATAGGTGATCTCCCTGTGATGAGATGTTTTAAAAGAAAAGAAACTACCTAAAATAAACTACTACTATAAGCCCATTTAAAATTAGGAATTGCGAGACCAAATCAGAGTAGCTGTGCGCGTGTTTCCAATCCTGTTAGGTGATTTGGGACCTGTTTAAAAATTTATTCTAAAAATAATTTTATATTTTTCAAAATAAGAGAATAAAAAAATTTATTTAATAACATATTTTTAAAAAGTATTTTAAAAAATAAAAAATAAAATATTATTCTGAACAATAAAAAAAGAAAAATAACTTTTGAGTGTTCTGTAATTATTGTTTTGGAGAATAAATAAAAATAAAAAAATATATTTTTATTATTTTTTTATTCTCACAACATGTTTTATAAAATGTTTAAAATAATAAAATAAAAATAATTTTAAATAACTCCTTGGTTATTATTAAAAAAAAAAACTCGTTAAGAGAGTCCTTAACTCCACCGGGACGAAGTTGGTCAAATATCAACATTAATCCTTATAATAAATAAAGAAGAAGAAGATCAATCGACCCAAATCTGTTTCGTTTATGTTAACAAGCTTTCTGAAAATCATAAACATGAATATAGATTTCACCTTCAACTATATATATATATATAGCTACTGCTAAAAGAAAATATTGTTCATTCAATCGATCACATGCACTTACAGCTACAAGCACTGCACCATTAAAAGGTCCTTTGACGAGAAGCATCCATCTAAACCAATTATGCTGATCCTTTGAGGAATCTCGGCGGTCGCTCAATGAATTAAGGGACTTTTAGTTCCTGGACTCTCCGAACACCCCTTTCAATAAGGAAAAATAGTAATAAAAAACTGTTGGAATAAATTTATATGAGTGAAAGATTAATTATTATCAAAATTTAAATTAAAAAAGTTTAAATAAATTATTGTTAATTTAAAATGAGTTATTAAAATTTAAATAAATATTTATTTGATAAAAAACTAACATAAATTAATAAAAAATTATTTGAATTTTAATAATAAATAATTCTTAATTGAAATAAATTTACTTCAATAATCTTGATTGCTATCTCTTATTCCTCTGCAAAATCACCTTACGCGCGCGCGCGCATATATATATATATATATATATTATATCTTCTTTTGATTCACCCTTTTTGCACCCGACACACGCCTTCAGAATTGACACCTCTACCATATAATATTCATGTTAATTTTTATTTGCTCTCTCAATCTATTTTTACTGTTTTAAGAAAAATATCATCTAAGGATCCATGAAGACTTTTAATATAAAAAAGACCTTTAAAAATATGAAATTTCCATATATTCCTCTGTTAGAGATAATTATATATTAACTATGTATTTGTTATAACCAACCTGGTTAGTTAACCATGGTTCGGTCTTGTTAATTGTACTATAAACACTCATGTACAGTATGCAGAATAGTCATGTCATTCAGATATTCTCCAGCGTCTCTCTTATGATTTCTCTCTATACTCTGAGTTCTATAATCGTTCATGGTATCAGAGTAGCGATCATCTGAAGCAATGGAGGAAATCTACTGGTTCATCTCAATCATCGCTGAGCAAGACTCCGAGCAAGGTCATGATATCGGCAAGTCAGGGTGATATCGTCACTTTCACTCACTTGATAACTGTGAGGCTTGAGGAACACAATAACCTCCTCTGAAAACAGCAAATTAGCACAGCTATTCGTGGTCAGGGCAAATGACACTCGCAGAACCTTGACCAGCCATCTCTTCACTGCCACCCCCCCCCCCGGCCCAGTTTTTTTTTCTATAACAAAGACCCAAGCTAGGGGTCACTGGCACGTTGCATGTCCTTATTTAGCAAAGCTAAAAGACTATCAGGAGGAAAACTAAGAATAGAACAACCGGCCGGGATCCATGTCCAGCGCTTGTTGGGCCATCTCCTCACTGTCCTATGCTAAGAGGAATTCATTCGAACCTTCGCAGATTATGAATGTTAAATTCATGGATCCCGTACGTAGAGGATTGAAATTCCTTTTTGACATACTAGAGTGTTATTCTATGCCTGTATAATATTGAACATTTATAGCAAGAACATATTGTGGCACCAAAACCAATAGAAGAAAGAAAGGAGGGAAATGCAGGAAGGAGAGGGCTCACAACAATGTGTTAGGCTGAGTAGACATTCTTCTATCCTATGCATGACATGGGAATGATTCTACTTTCTGGAAGATATAATTGTTTACGTGTATATTGTTAGCACTAGTTTTGTGGCACTTAGCTCAACTTGCATCTTCTGCAGAATATTATATACTCAGCTTTAGGTTACCTTTCCTGTACACGCGTCTGAAGACTTGCAAGTTAGTCCACTCGAATCACTACTTTACTAAACTACTCCTTTTGCGCTATCAGCAGCATTTCTCAGCGAAGAAGAACGGATCAACTGTAACTGATTTTGCGCTCTGAATTAGCTGATCACAGAATCATGGCCGCTGCTGCAGCTTCGTCCTCCTCGTCTTCTTCACCTCCTCCCAAGAAACATGATGTGTTTCTGAGTTTCAGAGGCGAGGACACTCGCAGAAGCTTCACCAGCCATCTCTATACTGCCCTATGCCAAAGAGGAATTCGAGCCTACATAGATTATGAGCTCCCAAAAGGCGATCGCATATCGGACGCACTCAGGGAAGCAATTCAGGATTCAAGTATAGCTGTGGTGATCTTCTCTGAGAACTATGCCTCCTCCAAATGGTGTTTTGAATGAGCTCCTCCAGATCCTCTGGTGTAGAGAGGTCCAAGGACAGCTTGTTATTCCTGTCTTCTATCAAGTTGACCCATCTCATGTACGCCATCAGAGGGGAACTTACATGGAGGCGTTTGCAAAGCATGAGAGAGACTTCAGGCTTCATCAAGAGCAAGTGAACAAGTTGAAACAAGCTCTCTTTCTAACCTCAAATTTAGCCGGCTATGATTCTCGAATCTGCAGGTCAGTACTGCGTAGTCTCTTCACTCTTTCAAACTGCATCTTTGATCAATTTGTGCTTGGTTATGGCAATTTTTTAACTAGAGTTTTATACTTTCATTCTTCTTCTTGTCTTACTGGCAAGAATTCCAATTTTCTTCGTCCATGATTTTATATCTTTAAGTTAAAAGCGTATGCTCCTGGAAACTCTTATAAGTTGCATTTATATGTTCAAGAGTGGTTTGGGGTTTTCAATTTTCACTGATATTCATATACTTCCTCTCTTTTGATTTTAAGATTAAAATATAGGGAGCAAATAATTAATTTTTTCTTTTATTATATTGATATATTGATGAGCCCTGTCAAACTATGACTCTGTTTACTTGACATTGACCAAAGCCACTTCAGCTACCAGCAACGTAGAGTCACGTGATAGTTGCACCAAAATGATCCGATCTTTGTACACTTTTGTTAGCGTCCCTATCGTTTTTTTTTTTTTTTTGGTTCTGGGTACATTTGTTAGCGTCCCTGCTCAATTTCATAGGTTTCCGGTTTTATCCTTCTCGTATATAGTGTGCTCTTGTGATATGAAGAAATGAATACAGCAATATCTTTGGTACATATTTTCTTTGGATTTATTTTCTTGGCTTGAAAGGCCCTAGTCAATTTTCTTTTTAATACATAATGATCAAATTCTAAATTGAAGAAAAATTTGTTACATATCAAATATAGGATAAAAATAAATTAAAATATTTAAATCTTTACAAATAAAACATTCATATCATATTTATAATTTTGATCATTTATTTCTAAAAAATAGGAAAAATAAAATGTTGACAGCTACTTGAGTCATGCTTTCCAACAAAAATTATGTTGACATCATTAAATGGTACTCATAGTCTTATAGACATATGTGATATCTGTTGATTGTTCGCTTGATGCAGCTTCTCTTTGCCATTAAAAAATAGTACTTTCTTTTTATTGTTTTCCATATTATAGGGACGAATCAGAACTCATTCAAAACATCGTCAACAACGTGCTGCATAATGTTAATCTTAGTTGTCCAAGTTCACCACTGATGGATCTTGTTGGAATTGATGAAAACTGTGTCAAGATCGAAAGGTTAATGGAAAATGCCCCAGGAGTTGGAATTTGGGGTATGGGTGGCATAGGCAAAACCACCATGGCTAAGGCTTTATTCACCAAACTCTCCTCCAAATTTGAGGGTCGTTGCTTTTTGGAAAATTTAAGAGAAGATGAAGAAAAGCATGGATTGACATATGTCTGAAATAAACTTCTCTTTGAACTACTAGAGGAAGAAAGTTCCTATCACAAGCCACCTAATGTCTCCAGGACTGCCTTTGTTAGGAGACTAAGTTGTAAAAAAGTTTTCATGGTGCTTGATGATGTTAGTAGTTGGAAGCAATTAGAATATTTAGGTCCGTATTGTGATTATTTGGGACCTGGCAGTAAAGTCATCATTACAACGAGGCACAAGCAATTGCTTGTAATTGCAGGAGTAACTAAGATATATGAGGCCCAGCCTTTGAGCGATCACAAATCTGCTGAGCTTTTCAACCTCAAAGCCTTCTATACATCCCATCCAAAAATTGGGTATGAATTCCTCTCAGAAAAGGTCGTTGATTATGCAAAAGGCATCCCATTAGTTTTGGTATTATTGGGTTCCTTTCTCCGTTCAAAATCTCCAAAGGAATGGGATAGTGCATTGTCAAAACTAAAGAAGAGCCCCAATGAAGACATTTTTGAAGTTCTGAAATTGAGCTTTGATGGTTTAAATTATGAAGAGAAGGAAATGTTTCTAGATATTGCATTCTTTTTTAAGGGTCTAGATGAAGATGATGTAATAACGATATTAGAGAGCTATGACTTCCATGCTAGGATTGGGTTAAAAACCCTTGTAGATAGCACTCTTATAGCTGTCAAAGGGGGCACTATTTGCATGCATAACTTAATCCAAGAAATGGCCTATGAGATTGTTCGCCAAGAGTGCATCAAAGAACCTGGAAGACGAAGTCGATTACATGATCCAAAAGAAGTCTATTATATGTTGAAAAATAATATGGTGAGTAAAAATCATTTATGTTGCTAATAATACGTGTTTCTATAAGTAAATAATGTCATAATCATATGATTTAATTTACTTTTATTTTATATTATAATTTTCAGGGAACTGATGCAATCGAAGGCATAGTATTAGATCTGTCCAAAATTAGTCATTTAACCTTGAGCCCTGATACTTTCAAAAAGATGCCTAAACTAAGATTTCTAAAATTCTATTCACCAAAGGATAGGAAATCTTGTAAGGTGAACCTTTCTTCTGGCCTTGAATCATTATCTGAGCAATTGAGATACCTTCAGTGGGATGGTTATCCTTTGGAGTCCTTACCGTCCACATTTTGTCCTGAGAAACTCGTTGAACTTTGCATGCAAAACAGCCATATTAAAAAACTTTGGGATGGAGTACAGGTATATAAATTTGAGAATGTATGCTTCAATTTCTAGTTGAAGTCTTGTGGTTTTCTTTCCCTTGTGATGCTTTTCATTTTAATGGTGACAGGATTTTGTGAACTTAAGGAGAATAAATCTTGCTAGATGCAAACAACTGATAGAGCTACCTGATTTTTCAAAGGCACATAATCTTGAATCGGTCAATCTCTCATCATGTGAAAGTTTGTGTTATGTTCATCCATCCATCTTAGCTCTACAAAGGCTTGTTACTTTGGATCTCAACAGATGTATTAAACTGAAGAATCTTCATAGTGAGATTCATTTGCAATCTCTCAGGCGGCTCTATGTCAGTTGGTGCTTTAGTTTGACAGAATTTTCATTGTCGTCCCATGAAATCGCAAGTCTAGAACTAGAAACTACACGAATTGAGATATTGGACTCGTCAATTGGGCATCTCAGTAATCTCAAACAATTCAGGCTTAATTGTTCAAGATTGAAGAATCTTCCAATAAATGAGTTATGTTGTTTAAGATCCCTGGAGGAGCTTGGGCTTTTTAATTGTGAACAAGCAATTGACAAGGTGAAGCTCCACATTCTGTTTGATGCCCTGCGATTGTTGCAAATATTATGTTTGGATGGGTGTCAAAAATTAACCGAGCTACCTGACAATATTAAGCATCTTTCAGGGCTAAAAGCTCTTTCTTTAAAGAATTGTGAGAGGCTACAATCTCTACCAGAGCTTCCACCATCTATTGAAGAATTAGATGCCACCAACTGCCCATCATTAGAGACACTAGTCCTCATTTCTAAGATGGAATCTTCAACGTCGCCAGAGGAAGGAATGATGGCTTTAACACCCTATTCCTCAATTGGGTATCTTTCAAAACTTAGAAAGCTTCGCCTCAATGTCTCAAGTCTGAAGAATTTTTCAATTGAGCAGCTATGTTGCTTGAGATCTCTCAAGGAGCTCTCTCTTTGATTGCGGGGAGGTGATTGACAAGTCAACGCTGAGCATGCTATTTGATGCCACATCCTCTTTGGTGGACCTTTATTTGGAAGGATGTTGTAACTTGCATGAACTTCCTGATAACTTCAGCTCCTTATCATCGTTATATTTATTGGGATTGGAAGGAAGCAATGTGCAACACTTGCCTTCTAGCATCAAGCATCTTCCAAAGCTAGATTACATTTACATGACCAATTGCAGGACCCTTCAATCTTTACCAGAACTTCCACCATTCACTAAATATGTAAAAGCCACTAATTGCTCATCACTGGAATCTTTATTCTTTTTAACAACTTCTAGACCACGGCAGAAATATCTGGTGGAGTCCCTCTTTCTCGAGAATTGCTTGAAATTGCAGCAACATTCACTTTCTTGTATTGAGGAATATGCTTATTTCTCATTGAAGCGAGTAGCATATCTCAATCGAACTGGTGCTTTTTGTTACCCAGGAAGCAAAATTCCAAAGTGAGTTAGACTTAGGTGTAATCGGACAACTAAAGCTTTGAGTTTCATAGCTATTGAATTCCCTTCAGCTGCCAACAACTTGGTGGGCTTTGTTTTCTGCTCTGTTCTACGTCAGTTCACGTCAAAGCCAAATTGTCAGAGTTACTTGAAATGCCAAATGCATCTTGAAGATGGTGAACGAGTCGACAACAAAGGTCATGATATGAGGATAACACATTTAAATTCACTTCATGCTTTTCTATGGTATGATCCAATCCACTCTATATGCCTTTTAAGGGAACTTATAGAAAGAGAGGAGAATCAAGGCGTCAGAGGTAACCCTAAGCTTTCGTTTGAGTTTTCTGTTGTCTCTTATGATGAGAAATATGAGATAACCAAACATGATGGTTTGATAGAAGAATGTGGAGTATTTCCAATATATGCTTCTTAATATCACAATTTCCTTCAACAAATGGAATTTGGGTTGGAGTTGGGTGGCCAAGAGAGGAGTGGTCATGATAATCAGCATTCACAATCTGGAATTATGGAATATGCTAGTTCATGTTTGAAGCAAGCAGTATATGATAATCACGGAAGAAGCATTATTTCTTGCCGAAAAACCACAAACTCCAGACTGGTTTACATATAATAATTCAACAGAATATTCTTCCATATCTGTTTCTATCACTCCACAGTTTGACAATTTATTGGGTTTCATTTTCTGCTTTGTTATTCCCCAATTCTCATTAAAAGAAAATGATCGAAGTCACTCAGGATGCCGATGTACTTTTCAAAATAAAAAAACTGGTATAGAGGAGCGAGGTTTTGAAGGCCCAAGAGGATGGCATTATTCGATGATACAATTGAATTCGGATATTGTATTTCTATGGTATGATCCCCTCTTTTGTGAATTGATAATAGAGGAATTTAAAAGAAAAGGAGGCAAAGACGAGGGAACCAGTAATTATGACCCAAGCCTTTCATTTGAATTTGAGTTTGGTGATCACTTGATCAAAGAATGCGGAGTCCGCCCAATATACGCTTCGGAATATAACGATTTCCTCCGACTGAAGGAATTGAAGATGAAGCAGGGCATGAAAACAAAGAGGCCTCGGGATACTTGTGATGAGGATGAACAAATCACTCTATCAAAGAAATTGAAGGAATCTTGTGTTGTTCAACCTGAGAAAATTGACCAGTTACAACTGACACTATCCAGATTGAATTTGGAATCTCTGAGGGATGGCACTCCACATTAATAAGTTACCTTGCATTGCTTTCTTGGGGTGTGTGTGTATCTTTCTCTCTACATTTTGTCCCTTAATTGATGAGCTTGAGTATGGTAAACTGATGCTAGTTCAGCCACTGCTTCTTTTCCTTTTATTAATAAACACAGTATTTATTCATGCATTCGAGCCAACAAAAATTATAGGGATTTGTAAATCAATATGTAAAAGAGGATATCTTGTGTGTGTGTGCATTGCCTACTTTACTGGCGTTTTGTCTGGAACAGAAACTATCTTGACAGTGAACTATAGCTGTTAGGAAACTATCCTATATACATCTCAATGATTGTATCAAAAATGTTATATTAGTTGCATACATTTTTAATGAAAAATGTTACTGACTTGGTGTTCTTTTTAATGCCAATCAAGTTCAGTCTTTAATATCTTCGTTAGCTAATGTTTGTGTTCTTCTTTTGTAGTTTGATATGGAACAAATCTGCAGCAGGGGCAGCTATAATGATTGGTGGTACACATTCAAGTGTTGTTTTCAAGTGCATTAATTTGCAGAGGAACAGCTCCAAGAATAAATTCCGAATGTCAAACCTGTGGCAAGTACTTTGTTCTTAAGGAGTATTTATACTAGTTTGATAGTAACATAGTAATAAAAGATTGGCTTTCATTTTATGTATTTCTAGTCACGGGGCACTTTCTAATTACTTGATTATTTTTTCAAACACAGCCCTGAATTTGAAAAGTTTACATCACATAACAAAATTTTGAATTAAGGTAATACCAGTAAGCTCTGCATTACCTGAGTATTTTGTTTCCTGGGAAATAAAATCAGAAGCAGCACTGATGCTTCCATAACTATTCCAAGTTGGTCCAGCTGATGACAGAGCCAATCTTTGAGATCAAAAGGTCCTATTGGTCCGTGTTTCACCTCTTGTAACAGAAATCTCTGCTGATTTGACAGTAAGGATTTGGAGCTATTCACTCACTTTTCATAACATAGAGCATAATTCTAATTTCTTTTGCGTCTATTAAGATATCTTTTCTTGCTGTTGTCCTTGCGGGATTTCTGTCATCTACCCCAGATGGACTAATAACACACTGCTGAAAAACATGAGTTTGACAAAATGCAAGTTAAAAATTTAACTTCTTGCTGTGTCTATTTTAAACAATTGCTCTTGCAGCTTTCTAGGATTTCTGGCATTGTAAAAAATTTTAGGCAATTTACTTTTGAATTCTAGTGTTAATATAAGTTGTTCAAGCATTTCACATTTTTTTCACTGATTATTTCACTGTTGAAATATTGATTTAGAGTCCGTTTAAATATCAGTTAGATATAATTGATTATGAAAATAATTGATTAATATAGTTAATTTTAATCATAATTGAGTATATTATAATACAATATGGTTGAATATTATTTTTTAAAAATTGAATTTTAACATAATTGAATATGTTTAAATAATTTAATCAAAATCAAGTTTTAATTATATAAATTACCATAAGGACATTACTTTTAAAAGAAATTATTAATAAATCTATACATAATATTATTAAATTCGTTAAATTTTATATAAAAAGTAAAATATATTATTTAAATTACATATTTAATTAATAAAAAAATAAATTATATTAATATTAGCATTTTAATTTATAAACCCATCCATTCCCTCACTCTTCTTCCCGATCTCTCTCTCTCTCTCTCTCCCTCCCCCCCCTCAGAATGGCCAAGAAAGATCAGAAAGACGGTACATGCAGAGTCGAAGCTGTTCTTCACCTTATCAAAAAATAATCACCACTCACTCTCAAAAAGGTCTATCATTCAACACTGGACATATATTGATATATATACATATATGCTCATGTATAATTAACTTGTTTGTTTGATTAATTTTGCAGGAGAAGTTCTGCAACTATGCTTGTGTAGAACGGTTTCTCAAAGCAAATAAAGATGATGTCAAGAAAGCTGCCAAGAAACTCAGGGCTTGCCTCTCTTGGAGACACACTATTGACTATAGGCATTGGTATCTATATATATATATATATATATATTCTCTCCTCTCTCAGATTCTCTCTCTGCAGAAAGTTTATTTTTGTTTTTAAAACAGAGCATCTGATGGCGGATGAGTTCGCGGCTGAAATCGCCGATGGCGTATGTGGCTGGTCACGACGAGAGACGGGAGACCAGAGACGAGAGACGAGAGAGAATTAACGTGTGATAACAGTAGGGTAATTTTGGCAGGTGCGAGAGTCTGACAAATAATTAAAACTTTAACAGTAAAATTGAATTATAGAAGCGCTCTCCTTCCGCTTATGATAAAACGCCATTTTTGCCTTAATAATCAATTGTCATCATTTGAAGTTGTTTGGGTAAATCCTATTCAATGATCGATTAATTGATGAATCCAAACACGAAGTATATTGTTACAAGATGGTGTTTGTACATAGTACATACAGACACCTATTCACTTCTTGCTATATATATATATATATAGATACGCTTATGTGACTCTTAACAAGTTGACTCATAAGATATGGCAAGTTGACTTTGTATAATGTATTGGGTGTTTTAATGATTTTTTTTTCGTCAGTTGTTCAATTAAATAAAACTTGTAATGAAGTAGTAACCCATTTGAGTAAGCTTCACATAGTTATGCGTGATTTTGTCCTCCATGCCATAATTTTAACTATAATATTTGAGTTTAGATTCCTTCCACGTTCTTAAGGATATACAGAGGATATATAATTCATTTTAAAGCATTTGTATTAAATTTAATTAAATATAAATGAGATTTGCCACCCTCCCTGGTTGTCTCTTAAGCTCAGCTTGAAACGCACGACATCAATGAGATTTGCGACGAGCTAGGAAAAGAGCATCTGATCTTGAGATTTAAATGTGGCATCGGAATGAAAGGTGGAGGAGGAGAGTAGGGTAAAACTACCGTGGAGGAGGTGGTGGGCGTTGGCATCGAAGATGGTGTCTCTGCCGACTTCGGTGGAGACGGTAGAGGCGGCTCTGCTTATCCAAAAAGATGGCAGATTATTCCATTGAAGCTTGAGGCTAAATATGACTTTTCAAAGATGACCGAGGATGATAATAAAAAAGGGAAATTTCAATAAAGATCACTTAACCACACCTATTTAAATTTGAAAACTCCTAAATTTTTAAAATTATATTATAATTTAGGAGTACTAATTTGATATTAAATTTTTTGAAAAAATAACAAATTTGCTTCTCATTAAAATTAAGATAACATTCCCTACTTCATTTATTCATTATCCTACTTTACTTGTTAATTTATTTACAAAATATTGTTAATTTTTTTACTTAATTTGTTTTCATTTTAGATGTTTAAACTCATTTTAAAAGAACTTATTAATTTTTAGACTATATGTTATTATTTATTTATGAAATATTGTTAATTACCCTATTTCACTTGTTCATTTTCCTAAAATGAAATTGAGTAAAAGTTTAACAACGGACAAGTGAAATTGAGTGAAAGTTTAGCAATGAACAAGTAAAATTAAGTGAAAGTTTAGTAATGAAAAAGTGAATAATTCAAATTAAAATTAAATAGTTCAGACAAAATATTATTTTATTTTTATGATTTTTATAATTTTTATTTAGTGAATACAGAGTCTAAGAAAAAAGATAATTTTCTAATTATACTTTTTTTATAAAAACGAAATTTAATTATCATTTCAAATTATAAATTTTAAAACTTTGAATTGATAAGCATTAATCACTCTTAAAAATTAGACACATTCCATACCATGTTAGTCATAATTCTATATGTCCAAAAAAATTTTTGAGGTGAATCTATTATCTAACTTAATTTTAGGAATTTGATGCCATTAAGAATAGGGACAATCTCACTTAAAGCCCTTGAAATACAGAAGTTTGCATTTTGGACCCAATATAATTTGAAAATCTTTACAAGCCCAAAGCTTTAAGTGAAAATATGTTTTAACGAGCAAAGATGTGTTTGCCCTCCCCTTTTTCACGAATGCACAACACAATAACTATGAATTCTTAACACAATATCCTATAATATATAATTAAAAAAATTATCTTTTAATCCTTCAACTTTTAACTTACTTGTAACTCAGTCTCTCAACTATGACCCGCCTATGATTCAGTCCCTCAACTTTTGAATCACTTACAAATTAGTTCCTTAATTTTATTAATTTTTTTATGTTAGCTTATATCTCACATCAATGAGTAAGAGAATGGTATTTTAAACCAAATATGAGCATTTTTTTTATCCCTCTTATTTGATAAGAATTTTTTTAA